CTTGTGTATAAAGTTAAAATACATAAATAATATTCAACGTTAAACTGGTACACAATTAAAAACATTTTATTTAGGCCTATCTATGGCCTTCAAAAAGTTGACAACTCTACATGTTTCGACGTTACAACGTCATCCTCAGGATTGAATTACAAGACAATTGCCAAAATATTTATAACTTGTAATAAATAAACTAAACGAGGTCTGTCAAATTGAGACCTCGTAACCGTCATAAAAAAATTAGGAAATAAATATCAATTATGCTTTATTCATTCTAGAAAAACTACACAAAAACACAAATGTTTAGTCTAAATAGCTTAAATCTCATAACATTATACATTTATACATATTTATTATTTTTATTATATGCCTGGCTAATAATACAGAAGTTACAATGATGCAGCGCACTCATGTTACCATATCCAATAATATAAGATCAACCTTTAGTCTTTACAAAGTGACCCGTCTTGGCCGTGTTTTAGTAGACTAGTATTTTGTAAAATTTAATTACATTTCAATTATTATACATTATATGTGTATATAGGTTATTACTATTTACAAACAAGTTCTTAATCTTAACAGTTCTCTCTTGTTACAACCTTTGTACTTGGTTGCAGCTTCTCATAGCTTGCTAAGCCTTAAGAAATTTTGCAAGTGAAAGATGTGAAACGAAATAATTTCTTTTAGGTTTTACATATACATTTGAATAACCAAAAATTATAAGTTTCTGTATCAATACCATTGAATTCCTTATAATTTATCAAGTTTAGTAACTAAGCTGTATTTCAGTCTATAAAATATGAAATTTCGAGCAGACTAAAGACACAACCTACCTCCTTGAAATCTTGTTTTGAAAGAACAAGATGATGCCTAACACATTAAAATGGCTGAGAAAGACACTAAGGTATACATGTATATACGGGACTGTTTCTGAAAATGTAAAGAGGTGAGCAGGGCCACTGTGTTTAATTCAGTACATGAGCGATATCTCAGCAAATAGAAAGGATAGGACATTCATATTTTATATTCTAGCTTGATAACATCGGTAATTTGAGTTACTAATGTGTACAAAACTATATGCTTTGTATTTTGACATCACAAACATCTAATTTGAACCAGTTCTGCATTCAACATACCACTAGACACACAAAAATCGATCTTTAAGTTTTTAATATTTACTTTCAAATTAAGAAATTGAATAATGTAAAATACTAAAAGCTGAATTATAATCTACAGTGGGATACCAAACTAATTGACATAAATTCATAAAATAGTAGTTCAATAACATTTTGAATGCAAGTCAACAAACACGATGACATAGCCTTTGACCCATGATCTGTAGCGATAGGGTTAATCAAACTTCAACTTTCACTACTGAGAATGGTGGCATTGAACACTGAAACATGTACAGTTTTTGTAGGGCTGGTCCCTAGTTTTAATAAATTTTATTGTGCAATTATTTTAACATTGTATGCTTTTTTAATTTTTTAAACAACTAACCTGTTTTGACTGCAAACCATGACTCCAGACACGTTCTAAAAGGTCACACAAACTGGCTATGATTGTGTTCTCCTCAAGACCTGTAATACTGATTTCCCCATGACCCAGCTCTACTGCTTCTTGTCCCATCTTCTCCACTAGCATTCGTTTTGTCTGAAATTGTAATTATCATGAAACAAAAATAATATCTAAAAAAACAGTACATCTAATAACAAATTTAAATTTTTTAATGAAATTAGATTATCTAACAATAAACATAAATTGCAATATTTTTATCAGAAAATCAAATGAGCATATTTTAATTGAAGAAATATCTTACTCGTTATAATTCAAATAATACTTCTGAAGTTTTCTTTTAAGACAGGCCAGTTTTTAAAATAAGGATTGTTTCATTGCTTCCTAACCGATTTTCAATACATATACGTGGTTACAACAATAGCACCTATAGGAAGTAGGTAGAATACAGTTCGAGAATATTTTCCACTAACTACAGTTCATTTTAAGCCACCTCCAAAGGAATTATCCTGCTAGTTGTTAACAACACTAGATGTCAGTCTTCTTGGTTGACTTTTTTTTACCTCCTACTAACTTTTCAAAAGTCCTTTGTCACTTTAGAATATTATAAATTGGAAATTATTTTGAAAACCTCAGTAACTAAAAAAAAAATCTCAAATTAAACAAACAATTAGCCACATGAAAATAATGAAAACAATTAAAGGTTATGTTGATGTTTAAAATTCCTTCTCTTCTATCCCTACAAAAAAAAACAAAAAACTATCATTTAATCTACATATGCAACAAAGGATAAAATACTCAACTTCCAAAATAATTAAACAAAAATTACTGCAACTATAGAGTATCAAAGACTAGTTTAAACTTTCAGCACAAAGTTTGTTTTTCCTCATACATGGATCTTAACTATTAATACTGCTGAGGTAGATACGAGTAAAACATACCATTAATCAGAGAGTTACAGGGCATGCCGTCTATAAAAGCACGTATACAACAGCTATTACCAATCAACAGCAAGAAAGATATGGAACTCTTGTCATGTTACCACAATTTAAAATCATCAATACAACATATAACGAATTTCAGTTCAGAATTTTTAAAATTCTTATTTTCAATACTTTGGCCTGTATAAAACAAAATTTTAAGTGGCATTTAAAACATACATTCAGTTTCTAGTTCTTCCTTTCATTTCTTAATTATTTTTTGTTACAAAATATGTGCAATATGAAAGTGTTACAAGAATATTATGTAAAGTTTTGATTTTATTTAGAAAAACAATAAAAAAAAAAACTTAAGATTTCTACAACGTTTATAATTTTCTTTCTACAAATATCCAAGATTCTGGGAATCTTCATTGGCTTTCATTTATATAATGCTCCAGTAACATTTCTGACCACAAGTTATTTGAATTTAAACCAAGGTAATCATTACGTTTTTGTGCTAAATTGTTTTGCTTGAATTCTGGTATCAGATGACATTTAAGTCTCCATAATGAGCAATCACACACACAAAAAATTACAAACTTTGGCAAGTTTGAATGAATTAAAAAAGAGCTAGTCTGAAGGGAGAAAAACATCAAAAAATTTTGACAGTTAACAACACAAATTTCTTACTCTCATTTTGCATTCTTTCAGTAAGGCCTCTACAAATTTCCAATTTGTTCGGGCAATAATGGCAGGAGACATGTCAGAAAGCTTCGGATGACGGACTGATTTACTCCGTGCTTCCTGAATATAACGCTGGAACATATAAACATTTATCAAAATCATGATTTTCACATTTATAGTACCTGAAACCATAACATATTAATGAACCAATATTATACCTATAAATAATATTTATTGAAGCAACAGCTGCAGTAAGAAGGTTTTAACCCACAGAGGTGTTATATATATATAACTCTCCTAAAATCCCACTACAACAGAAGTGTACCTAGCTGTATGAATTAAATTTCACATATTCCATAAAGAAATTCATGTTCTCAGTGTAAAAAGTTCCTATCTCTAATCCAGATATTTCTGTTGTATAATGTAATATATTTCATGGTTTTAATAAAAGAAAGTAAAAGTAGCAAAATGGTTTAATGTTAGCATGCTGTATGTGTTACTGGAGAAGAAATAGTAGTCTGCTAATGTATTGAATTCTTCATACTTTATCAGTAGTTATGAAGAATTGTTTTTCTAATGTTACGTTGATTCTGGTACAAGATGGTTTTATTTGCAGTACTTTATATCCAGTGGAGCAATAATCCTTGAGTCAGAAGCAATAAACCACAATAGCAGCCCACTAGATGTTTTCCATAGAGCTAACATAAACAGCACATCAAGTTTTATATTTCACACTGAGCTCAAGTTTGTGAAATTAAGATGTTTAATTTTACTGAAGTGTTGTTAGGCTAAGTTGAGAAGTTTATAATTTTTGCATTTTAGATACTTTTGTAAAACATGTACACAAAAAACTCAATCTGTAGTATTCACTGTGTACTGGAGCTGCTTGCACTCAAGTAAGCACATTAGATATCCTTCCCTAAGCCTCACCAAGTCTATCAAATTTGAGTATCCAATAAAAAAATTCATGCAGTTTTCTAATATGCATATTAGAACATAAATATATATATATATATCACTAATTAGAACAGAATGTCCCAAAACCATTGCAATTTACCTGGTTTTCTAAGCTATAAGTTTAAAAAATGTTACTGTTAAGAGCAGCAAATCTCATGAATATAGCAATTCTCCTCAATTACTGGCTTACATTGTCAAAACTGATCATAAACTTGTATGATTTACAAAAACGAAAATCTTCACTTTCTATTGGTCATAAACATATCCATCAGTCATGTAAAACTCATCAGTAAAAAATCTAGAAAGTTTGAGAGAGAGGCTTTTCTGATAGGTTTAACAAATTTAATGATACCTCAGCAAATTAAAAAGTTAAAAGATTCAAATTTTAGAATCTTTCTGGTAATTATGGATAGTTTGTACTTTTAATTTGTTTGATAATGGAGCACTCTATTTTAGAAGTTAAGAAACTCTAAAATATTGAAACTGGAACTCAAACGTGTCACGTAAAACAGAAAAATGAAGGTTGAGATTTTTTTAAATATTTCTTTTGGAAATTAAAAATTTAAAACTAAGATAATGTAAAAGAATTGAATTATAAACTATGTTTTCATTCCAAGTTTATTGAGATACACTGAGAACAATGTTGTTTAATTAAATTTTAAATGTAACACTGTAAAAGGCCTTGATATGTGAACTTTGACTCACCTGAAGCAATGGTCATAGCCAAACAGTTAATCAAACAATATTATATTAATGGAAGAAAGAATAAACAAATGACTACTGATTTTATCAGATTTCTGATGTATAGACAAAAAACCAAATGCAGTGACTTTGAAATGACAGTGTAATTTTAATATAAATAATCATAAATAAATGAAAGCCACTTTGATCGCATAGAATCATACTGGAATAAAGACAAAAAACAACTGACATTTTGAATTTGATCAGACAGATAATTCTTATAAACAGACAAATGAACAAATAACAGTTTCTCTTTGATCAAACACTAATTCTGATGTAAGAACCAATACACACATGATCATTTTCCTATACAGACACAAACAAATAACATTAGCATTCTGATCATACAGTAAGATGATGATCAACTAATAAATAAGCAAATGAGTATTACTTTGATCTGACAGTATTATACTGGTGTAAAACCCAATGGATAAATGAGTATTACTTTGATCTGACAGTATTATACTGGTGTAAAACCCAATGGATAAATGAGTATTACTTTGATCTGACAGTATTATACTGGTGTAAAACCCAATGGATAAATGAGTATTACTTTGATCTGACAGTATTATACTGGTGTAAAACCCAATGGATAAATAAGTATTACTTTGATCTGACAATATTATAGTGGTGTAAAACCCAATGGATAAATAAGTATTACTTTGATCTGACAATATTATACTGGAGTAAAACCCAATGGATAAATAAGTATTACTTTGATCTGACAATATTATACTGGAGTAAAACCCAATGGATAAATGAGTATTACTTTGATCTGACAATATTATACTGGAGTAAAACCCAATGGATAAATAAGTATTACTTTGGTCTGACAATATTATACTGGAGTAAAACCCAATGGATAAATAAGTATTACTTTGATCTGACAATATTATACTGGAGTAAAACCCAATGGATAAATAAGTATTACTTTGGTCTGACAATATTATAATGGTGTAAAACCCAATGGATAATTGAGTATTACTTTAATCTGGGAATATAATTCTGATGTAAGAATCGATAAATATGTGACAATAATTAGCTGAGAAGCATTCCACTGAAAAAACAAAAACTGAAAACTTGACAGAAAACTTGGTTCTAAGTCCACATTATGGTTTTCAGTACATAAAAGACAGTTGTGTATTCTACACTTGCATCTTTTACTAAACACTAATTATTTTACAAAATTCATACTACAAGAACAGTTGGACAGAAACATTAGGCAAGGCAGTCAGAAAGCATATTCTGCATACAGTAAAATTTTCCCATTTGAGCTTTCTTACAATCCTTAAAAAATAAAGAAAATTAGTGTAACAAGTCTTCACATTTTACCAATGATTATCTAATATCAACAAACACGTCTTGAGGTAATTTCTGGGTTCATAATTCCCATTAATCTTCTAAACAGCAAAAACAGTTAGAAAACCACTTGTATTTAACTTTAGCATATTTTAGCATATTTGCTTGTGGATGGTTTTAAACTATTTTTGAAAACCACTAACAAACATTAAATGGAAGAAAACCACGAGCTTTGAAAAATGGATAAATTACAGGCAAAGTTTATGTGCAAAGATTTTACCAGAGAGTTAAAAAAAATTACACAAAACCAGGACTTTATAAAAGACATTTACATGTACAAAAAAGTGAAAATCTTACATTTAGTAAGATAAAAATGTCACTTAGATGTTTAGAAAAGAAATATTCAACAAGGATATATTACAATAAGTATAAGATTTTTTAAGAATATTTTAAAAGGAAATAAAGAATTTTATGAATAGAATTGGCATGAGGTTAGAGTCATTCAAGGATGTTTTATGTTATTCCACAAAAGAGTGGATCTTACAAATGCACTGTTCGAGGTATTCAGTGATCACATAATTATATTTTACAGCACAAGTTCAAAGGTATATTTTATACAGAAGTATGACATTACAGTATTTTACAATTGATCAAAATATTTTCCAAAATATCAAAGAAATAAAAGATGTTAGAAACAAATATAACAATGTAAAATTTTCACAAATAGATATTGTAAAGGCAAAATTATAATTTTATAACAGATTCAAATATTATACAAAAAGATTTTGTAAAAAAAAGAGCCAAATATTGTAAATTATATTTTAAAAATGTCAACAACTTCAGAAAGATGATTTAAAAAGGAATAAAATATTTACGAAGAATAATGTACAAGACTATAAGATACCACAATGTACATGTTAAACAGTAAAATATTGTTACGCCTCCTTTCGTTAGTTAATTTTCCGTAAAAATTCTTTCCAAAGAACTTTAGCAATACAAGTCCTTTCTTAAATAGAACTGGTTTATTCTTTTTCAATACAACTTTGCAATACACTTAATTTCAACAGTCACGCTATAACAAACGTTATAATTCACAACAAACGTCTCACGTGCTCGACTCAACCATACTCTCTCTCTCTGTCCGCAGTTCAATTACACATTGTTCCCATCGCTTCTTGGTCAGTCTTATATATACAAGACTACCCCATATCTAGTAGTCTCCCGACGCTTCATGAACATTCTAGAAGTGCGTGGCGTGTTACTAGCATCACGTGACCTCCTCTGTCGTAACACTGCCCCTTCCTTAGTATTGTTCCTTTCCGAACAATAGCCACTTACATTAAACCAATAAACAATTAACAATAACTTAATTAAATGTACAGAATTTACAAACACAAAATTACAATTCAATAAAGTCTCTTAATTTTACAGGACGTATCTTCTTCCGTACTGGCCTCCGTCTCGTTGGCTTCTGCATCATGTGAGGTTCACCTGCTTCCTCAGGAAATGTCCTATCATCGGTAACAGTCACATCAGTGGTAGTAACTTCATCAAGGGCTTCACTGTTTCCCTTCTCAAAACTGAGTAGAGTTTCTTCTTTGACAGTGGCTTCTTCAGGTGGCACGTCTTCAGCAGCATCATTTGTTCTGTTGTGCACTTCGTTCCAACTGAAATGTCCTGGACCGTGATAACGCCAAAGCCTGTTGGCATGCACCACTTTTGGCTTACCTCGCTGACCACATTTTACCCGGAAAGTCACGTCTGAGAGACGAACCACTATGTCATATGGGCCTTCCCATGGAGAAGAAAAACTTAGGAGACTTCCCTTTGGTCTTCCTGGGATTATACAACCACATTGTCTCCTGGTACAAGGCTGACTTCAGTAGATCTCTTATCATAAGTCAACTTCATCGAATCAGCAGACGTTTTCAAGTTTGAATGCACTTGATGGTGAATATCATCCATCCTTTCAGATAACACTTTCACAAACTCTGAGACATTTTCAGGCAACTCTTCATAAGGTGGGCGTCCTGTTAACAGATCCACTGGCAACCGAAGTTCCCTGCAAACATCAACTTTGCTGGAGTGTATCCAGTGGCTTCATGCTCTGATTTAATATCTATACATGGTTCCATTTCACCATCATCAACTCCTTCAGTCACTTTGACTTCAGCCTTGATGACACCTAATTA